CGCCAGTTCACGAAGTCCTACAACCTGTTGATCCACGAACGGACCCACACGGACGAGAGGCCTTATTCCTGCGACATCTGCGGGAAGGCCTTCCGTCGACAGGATCACCTCAGGGACCACAAGTGAGTCCATTCATTCCTTCGATGAAGTCGAGTATCGAATCTGGACTACTCTCAGCGCATTTCAAGGATAGAGTAACTAAAAAATCGTATAGAACCGAACAGCAATCGTTCGAAAAAAAAAATCCATAAGTCCTGACGGACTCCCGAGTCGCAGATATTGGTGCAAAATTTGTATTTAAATTATTTTAAATCGAGAACGATGGAAGAAAAGGAGAAGTTCTTAAGTTGCGTGGAACTTCGTTTTCCAGATACATCCACAGCCGAGAGAAGCCGTTCAAGTGTGAACAGTGCGGGAAGGGGTTCTGCCAGTCTCGTACCCTGGCCGTACACAAGGTACTGCACCTCGAGGACAGCCCCCACAAGTGCCACTTCTGCCAAAAGACCTTCAACCAGAGGTCGAATCTGAAGACTCACCTCCTGACGCACATGTCCCTCGGAGGCACGCCTCCTCCCCCTCCCAATCCTCCTCCTCAGCCGAAGACCAAGGTTCCCTTCAGCATCGAAGCCATCCTCAAGTAAGAGGACTCCATCGAACAAAAACAAAAATCTCCTCGTAGCCGATCGAGCGAAATCTTGAGACGATCGAGCGCTACGACGATCGTGCGCTAACCCGGACCCGATATACTCAGCCTGAGACCTCAATTCATTCGTTGTGTCTTTGTCATCCCGGTAATGATTATTAATTATATGAACGTGCCAAAAATACTCCACTTTTACAACCAGGTGCCAAAGCCAACACCCTTTTGCATACTCGTGTGCCAAAGTTCATTCGATCGTGTGCCGTTGAATCCTCCTACCTTTTTTCGGGATGTCATTTTTTTTTGTTCTTCGTTATATCATTCGCTGTGATAATGCAAACATTTTTTGTGCCAATTGTATCTTCTTTTTCAATGTGAATAAAATTATTTATTCCGAGATGGAATCGAACCGGTTGACTTTCTTTCTGACTCGGATTCACGGAAAAGTTCGCCAACAGCATTCGACAGAGCTCGTTGCACGCTATCGACCGTGCCGATCGGCACGCATGATGCCAATTTCCTCGCAAAAATAGCACCGGGAGGGCGAGGTCGAGCCGTGACTGCTCCTCGTTCTTTGTGACTCGCGTTCCTCCTTTCCACGTGTTTGGAAGTGGACGAATTGATATCCATCGATCAATCGGTTTTATTGAGGCCATGAAGCAATCGGGATGGAGGTTCACACGGGAAAGAAAGAGCCTTATCGCCGGTTTATGGCTTCACGACCGTGCGGTTGTGTCACCATGTGTGAGCCCAGAAGACAAACCACCCCCCCCTTCCCCAGCCCCCCCCCTCTATCCACTCCGGACTTTTCCACCGCTTTTGTTGTTGTTAATTTCGCGGAGGACGAGGACGGTAGCCCGGTCGCCCCCCGGCGAGTAAATTATGAGCCACGAGAAAGAAAGGAAAAAATCAAATAAATCCATTTCGGGGAAGAAAAGTTTAAAGAGAGCCCCCTGCCGGGTGTCCTCGTCCCTCTGCAATTTTCCTCCCTCCCATCCACACCGTTATGCCTTTTTCTACCTACTTTGCGGTTTCTGCTCTTCGAAGGCGACTCCTGTTCCCACTGATCGATCGTTTCTTGCCCCCCTCCCCCGCCCCCCAGCCCCCCCTGCCCCCACTCGGGATTTATCGACGTCTAGCCGATCGATCGCCTCGTTTACCTCACAGAGTGAATATTTGCAAAAACTAATCGGTCCACCGTTTTCTGTCGCGGATCGAGTCTGGGCCTTCGAGTCGTCTTTGCAACTACCACAAGTACCTGTCGTTCCGTCGAAGTTGTCGGACGGAAGAAAGGCGAAGACTCGGAGGCGACTCCGCCCCGATGCCCCTTCGCAAAATCGGCAATAACGTACTTGGTTCGGCAGATTCCGACATTCGCTCTGCAGATTCACGAATCCGGCAATGTTCGTGGGTGCTTCGTTCCGTGACATCCTGCATATTTATGAATCGATTCCTCCGAGAATAATCGGAAAATGAGAAAAATTAGCGGTCGCGAATCCGGTGAATGTTTGGATCCGTCGAACGGGCAACTCTTC